TGTTTTCAAAAGACTTGAAGAAATTCTCTGAAAAGTACTGTGATTACTGACTTCAGATAATGAACAAGAATGCTATAGCTGTCAGAAGCCAAATTAGAGCCGATTATTTAGATGTTCATATCCACTATGACTTTATGTATAGAAATAATACAGTGAATTAGTTCTAATGAAAAATTTGAGGCATATAGTGTAGAAAAAACTTTAATGGAAGAAGCTCAGTCAGAAGCAGCACTTTATTCTGTGGCTAAAAAAAAGAATTTTTCATAAACTATTTTTCCTGAACCCACACAATTAAAACAGTGTCCAAGAACGTTTGAGGAGATCTTACTGAATTATGGATGAGGGGCTGTTCCAAGAATTCTTTTCTGATCCTGGAGATTTAAAGCTATGTCCAGGCTTTTTGATGACTAATACCATTCCATCTTGGTAGTCAGCCACAGACATTTTTGTACCCAGAGCAAGCTCCAGCATTACCTGGGAGCCACATTGCTTTTTGTATGCTTAATACTCTGATAAGAAGAAAATCACAGTGGAAACAGCAGAGATACGCTGACCTAAATGTTACACTCTGAACAATATCAGTGAATGTTGTTTTAACACAAATATTGCTAGTTATAACCAGGCAACTTAAGGAGGTAAGAGGAAAAGCCAAGTACTCGGCAGTCACAGACCTAGGGTTAGAATCCAATATGCATTAACCCTAGTGAAAATTTCCACTCTATGATAGGACCCCAAGAAGCATTGTCCAAAAGTGGGGATATGGACTGGAATCATTTGGTTGGCTCAGAAATCCTCAAGCATTGGTTGAGGACTATTGGCACCCTTCCAGACCTGAAAGAAGAAAATGAAGCTCCTCTTTGGAGAAACATAGTATCATCCAATACTTTGAAATAATTTGATTTCTGTAATTAATTTTCAAACAAAATGAAGAGCAAACAATCAAAGATAATAGGATGCAAGAAGAATCAAGAATGAGCCAACTATGGTAGAAACGACAGACAGACAAAAGACAAAAGAAACGGACTTAATAACAAACATGATCTAAAATATCACTCTGCGTACTATGGTCATGGAAGAAAAAGTCAAGCTTTCAAATTTTGTCCAAGAACTAAAAACTATAGAAAGTGACATATTTTAACCAAAGATAAATATAAATAAAATAATAGAATAACTAAAAGTATAAAAATTGTGGATGAATTTTAGAGTGTATCTAAAGAGAAGGAGTAACTGAAAGATAGGCTAAAAGAAATAACACAATGAAGGAAGAAAAAAATAAAATTAAAAATTAAAAATATTGAAGACAGAGCAAGAGACATGAAGGATACATTGGGATACATTAGAGTTCCAGAAATGGAGAGAATATGAGCAGAAATTATATGTGAAGAGATAATAGCTAAGGATTTCTGAGAACCGATTTAAGATATTAATCTATAATTTAAGAAGCCAAATAAAGTACTTTTCTTTTTAAAAAGAAAAGGCATATTATTGAAGTAAAACCCAGAAAATCAAGGAGAAAAACTTAAACAAAGCCTGGGTGACTCAGTCACTTGAGCGTAGGACTCTTGACTTTAGCTCAGGTCATGATCTCGCAGTTCCTGGGATGGAGCCCTGTGTTGGGCTCCATGCTGTCAGTGCAGAGCCTGCTTGAGATCTTCTCTCTCCTCCTCTCTCTCTATGCCTTCCCTGTTTGGACTCTCTCTCTCAAAATAAATAAACTTTAAAATATATAAATAAAAGAAGCCAGGGGTGGGAGATGACCCTCAAAAGAAACTTGCACTTTCTGGAAAGAAGGCAAAGATTAATATTGGACTTTAAAAAGGATATATATATGTTATACGTTTTAGGATCAGAAGAATAGAAAGAGTTTATAATTTCCAAACTAATTGCAAGGAAACTGAACTATTTTAAATACTCCAAAAGACAGCAAAACAAGTAGGAACAATAAATAGAAAGCACAAAAGATGATGAATGGTAGGTTTAAACACAAGTATATTAGTAATTCATAACTATTGACTAAATGCCCTACTTAAGACACAAAGATTATTAGACTAGATTTTTAAAAAATGCAAAACCATGTTCTCTAGAGGCGCATTTAAGTTAACAGGATACAGAAAGACTGAGAGTAAAAAGATGGAAAAATATAGTTGATCCTTGCTTGAGCAACATGGGTTTGAACTTCACAGGTACAGTTGTATGGGGATTTTTTACAGTACAGTGCTATAAACGTATTTTATTTTCTTAATAGCATTTTAAAAATTTTTTTTTTTTTTTTTTCTGAGAGAGAGAGACAGCATGAGCAGGGGAGGGTCAGAAAGAGAGGGAGTCACAGAATATGAAGACAGGCTCCAGGCTCTGAGCTAGCTGTCAGCACAGAGCGCGACGCAGGGTTCGAGCCCAAGAACCATGAGATCATGACCTGAGCAGAAGTCAGACGCTTAACTGAGCCACCCAGGCACCCCGCATTTCTTTCCTTTACTCTATTGTAAGAATACTGTATATAATACATATACCCATGCAAAATACGTGTTAACCGGCTATTCATGTTATCAGCAAGGCTTCTGGTCAACAGCAGGCCCTTGGTAGTTGAGATTTTGGGGAATCAAAAGTTGCACACAGCTTTCTGACTGCATGAGGGGTCAGCACCCCTAAACCCCACATTGTTCAAGAGTTAACTGTATACCATGCAAACACTAAGTAAAAGGCAGGTGGTGTAACTATATTAATACCAACCGGACAAAATAGAATTTAAGGCTAATAAAACCATTACAGAGATAAGGAACATTAAAATATTCAGTTCCAGGTTCATATAACAATCTAAATTTGTGTCAAGTAAATAACATGGTCTTAATATACGTAAAGCAAATATTAACAGAATGAAAAGGAGATACAAATTTACAAGGCTACATAGGATATTTTAACTTACTAATTTGTAGAACAAGCAGCCAAAAGTCTCTAAGGATACATTAAAGTGAATAGCACAATTAATAGGACCCAATGGACATAAGCAGAATACTAACCTAACAGGAGAATATAAAGTGTTTTTAAACACAGAATATTTTCAAAACTCACCCATATTCTTGGTCAAAAAGCCAACCGCAATAAATTTTAAAGGATTTAAGTCATACATAGTTCTATAATGGCAATGCAAATGTGAAATCAGTAAGGGTAGCAGATCATCTGCATGTTTGGAATTATGAAATGGACATCCAAATAATTATGCATCTGGATGAGTGGGTGGCTTACTCGCTTAAATGTCTGACTCTTGATTTCAGTTCACGTCATGATCTCACATTTTGTGGGTTCAAAGCCTGGCATCGGGCTCTGTGCTAACAGCACGGAGCCTGCTTGGGATTCTCTCTCTCTCTCTCTCTCTCTGTCCCTCCCCTACTCGTGCTCATTCTTTCTCTCAAAATAAATAAACATTAAAAAACAATAACCATGAGGGAATTTAGATAACATTTTGGGCTCAATTATAGTAATACATATCAAGACTTGTGGGATACAGGCAAAGCAGTATTCACAGGGAAAGTAGAGCTTCTAATTTACATATTAGTAAAGAAGTTGGTAAAAGAACAGCAAAATAAACAAAGTAGAAGGGAATAATAAAGAAAAGAAAAAGAAAAAATATAATAGAAACTATGAATAAAACTAAAATTGGCTCTTTAAAAGGCCTAATGAAATTGATAAAACACTCTAGTGATGTCTGATCCAAAAAAGAGAGAAGGTATATCCAGAATGAAAGGAGAAACTACAAATCTAGTGTACATTAAAAACATAAGAGGTTATTATGAGCAAGCAAACAGTATAAACATTTAGAAAAAAAGACAAAAATATCTGTCTCAAACACTATATACATAGTGGTGGAACACAGAAAGTCTTTTGAGACTGGGAACAGGACAAGGATGTCTGCTAACACAACTTCTTTTCTAATACTGGAGTCCTAGCCACTTAGTAGAGTAAGAAAGAAAACCAAATAAATTAGAAATGAAGGAACAATACTCAATATTTGCAAATGATGTGACTGAGTGCACTGATAATCTAAACCAATATATAGATAAAGTATCATGAGTAGGAAATTTCATGAACATGAATAGGAAAGTTTGCTGAATCCAAACATTATTATGGGAAAAAATTAGCTAATTTCTATATATTGACAACAAAGAAAATGGAATATTAAAAAGATGCCACTTACATCAGAATAGCATCAGAAATAGTTACATATGGATAAATCTAATAAAAGGTATACAAAACTTTTGCAAGATGACAAAATTCTATTAAGAGACATTACAGAAGATCTGAATGAATTCAAAAATATATCATGTTCATGGATTAAAAGGCTCAGTACTATAAAGATGTCTATTCTCTCCTAGATTAATGTATGGATTCAATGCAATGTCAACCAAAAATCCCCTAAATTTCTGTTGTTGTGTTGTTTGTTTTGTTTTGTTTTTTCTGGATGTGGGTAGCAATTATACAGATGTTTATTTTTCCATAACTACTTAAAGTGGACATTTATGTTTTATGCACTTTTGTATGCTTGCTTTATTTTAATTAAGTAAAAGAAAGCACAGTGTAAAACAGTGTATTAAAATAGAATCATTCATATAGATGTATATACTAACATACAATTTTTCTCTAGAAGTAAACACGAGAAATTGCTTGCTTTTAGGGCCAAGGATTTGAAAAAATGAAAGGAAACAGGCTTTCTTCATATTGAATCTTCTGTATTATTCGAATTTCCTAACCATGTTCATGTTAGGATTATGGGTCAATATGTAGAGTTTTATAAATTTAAAAAAGTTGTTTAATTATTTATTTTAAAGTAAAACCCAGAAAAATTCAATTATGTTAAAAGGTCCAGACAGAAGAAAGGCAGGGAAAAATACTTTTTAAAGAATCATATTACAACCATTTCAGAAAGCAAATATTTTAATGATACCAACAACCTCCCTATAACTTAGGTTTCACAAATCAGTATTTCTATTTTGTCTCCTCTGAAGTAGGATTACCATGAAGTTAATGCATTTAAGCTCCAGAGTCCCTCACTTGGACAAGCCCTTTTAAAGGTTTGTGTCTAATTTTGTATTTATAATTTTATATGCTTTTTCTTAAAGAAGACCCCTCAGGTGCTCCTGGGTGGCTAAGTCAATTGAGCACCTGGTTCTTGATTTTGGCTTGGGTTATAATCTCGCGGTTCGTGGGTTTGGACCCCGCATCAGGCTCTGTGCTGACAAGCATAGAGCCTGCTTCGGATTCTCTCTCTCCCCATCTCTCTACCCCTCCCTGCTTATACTTTATCTAAACTTTAAAAAAAAAAAAAAAAAAAAAAAGACCCCTCAAATTATAGAAGTTTGATGCTCCCCAAAACCTGATTTCAACCTAGGCTGTGAATACTTAAAGGAAGGAATTCTTACCTGCCCTGAATATGAAGATTTGTAGAAATAAACAATGAACTATGGTTGCTATGAAAATTTCTTTGTCTGAATAAAAAATTCACTTGTAGATATATTTTAAATCAGGCATTGAGAATTTACAGTTCACCTACTCTAAGAATGCTTTCTACTTGCTAGAGATGAATCATTGCCTCCTGTGCACTAAATTTGTACCTTTCCTCTCATTTTATTGAGGCATGTGTTTTAGTCTGTTTGGGCTGCTCTAAAAAACACCATAGACTGGGTGGCTTACAAACAACAGGAATGTATTTCTCCTAGTTCTAGAAACTGGGAAGTTCAAGAGCAAGGTGCTGGCAGGTTTAGGTCTGGTGAGCTGGCTTTCTTGTTCATAATGCTGTCTTGTCACTTGTGTCCTCACAGAACAAAAGGAATGAGAGAGCTCTCAGGAGCCTCTTTCATGAAGGCACTAATCCCATTCATGAGGGCTTCACTTCATGGCCTAATCACCTCCCCAAGATGCTTCCTCTGAACACCCTCACACTGAGGATTAGGTTTCAACATATGAATTGGGGGCGGGGGGCACACACATTCAGTCTTTGGCAGAATGTCTACTCTACTAGACAGTGAACTCTAAAATGCTAAGACCCTGTTTCAATTATTTTTATACCCCAGGGCCTAGAAAAGATCCCAGTATGCAATAAAGGAGTCTTTAATTGGATCTTTTTAAAACACTGTATTCTGTGTGAAGGAGGCCTAGCCACAAATCATTACTTTAGTAAAATTCATATGAAACTGATACACTGCTAAACCATACACACATACATGAACTAATGTGGTCATATTTTGCAGGAGACAGATTATAGACTCCTAAAGGCAAGGACCAAACAATATTATGAATTATTTTTTTAAAAATGTGGAAATCCAATACTCTAACACATTTGTTTCAGATTTTTTTTAAATAAATAAAAACTTTAAAACATAACATGCCTCACCTTTAAACCATCCGCAGATACTACCCATGGCCTCTCTCCTGAGACATGAACCCCACCCTGAAGTTGGAGTGTATCCATCCTGTCCATATGTTCTCATTTTTAACCACTTAAGAAAATATATCCACAAACAATAGATACTATAGATTGTATGTTTAGTAGATTAAACCAATATTATCTAATACAAATATGTGTGCCACAGATTTAAACATTTAAATATCCTCATAGCCACATTTCAAACAATAGAAACAGGTAAAATTTATTTTAGTGTTATATTTCATTTAAACCAGTATGTTCAAATTTTTTCATTTCAATATGTAATAATATAAAAATTATTAATGAGCTATTCAATATACTTAAAAAAATTTTTTCCAGTACGAAGTCTTTGAAATCCTGCTAGTAGTTCACACATCACATCTCAATTTGGATTCTAAATTTAGATTTCACAAAAAGTTCAAAAAATATATTCATATACCCGAGTTGTTCCAAACACACTTAAAGGTTTTCTAATAACTGAAATCCATTTTTAAAAGTTAAATTAAAGTTAAATTAACAATTCAGTTTTTCAGAAGAAATAACCACATTTCAAGCGCTCAATAGCCACATATGGCTAGCGGACACTGTTGGAATGAGCAGCTTAAAAAGATAACACAAAATACTTACCATTCAGCATCTTTCTTTTGCCCATTCAGTTTAATTTGCCCACTCAATTAATATTTTAATGCCTTTCCTTCCCCCTCCCCCCATGCCATATCCTAGAAAGGAAAAGCACAAATGGAATAGATGACTTTGAATTTCAGGGCAGCGGATATTTACATTTTAAAAAACATGATTTATCACTAAAGTCAATAAACCTAGAAGAACTTTGAAAAAAATTTACGGCTTCGTATTTTTGTTTAAACGACGGGATTGCTAAAAAGGATACATCTGATAAAAATAATGACCCGCTGTCACCAGCAAAGGTGCAGCTTTCACATCAGCTGCTCTCATTCTTCTACCCTGCCCTCCACAGGCACGCGCTCACAGTCACGCACGCACACACACGCAGAGGCGCAGACAGACACGTACCTACACTCGCGCAGACAGACACGCACGCTGCACGGTCAAGCGCACGGGCACTGGCGGACACCCAAGGAAATGCGGTTTCTTTCCCCCTTCTCGCTCCGCGGAGCAAAAGCAGGGAAGTTTCAGAGGGGCACTCAGGCTAACTCGGTATGGGTGGCGTCACCTTATCCCTTTTGAAGGAGACTGGATTCCGCCCCATTAGAGGAGAAACTGCAAAGGTTGGAAGTGGAGGCCGAAAGAAGCCCTGTTATAATCAGCTAATCAGCAGCTCCACCTCAGGAAGCGGCCGTCTTTGTGCGCCCAAGAATGAAACAAGAATGAAATATATTCCTTGCAGGAACGTGAAAGGATTTAAAAAGGGCCGTAAGCTGAGGCACTTGGGAAGAAGCCTTGTCACGGTCGAGGTCGACAAGGGCGTTTTCGCCTTAGCAGGCGCCCCTAAGCAATCCGGTGCGTCAATGAGCAGAACTGTTTTCCAGCAGCCGCGTTAGCGGCAGGACTTCCAAGTCCCGAAGAGGGCTAGCGTGCATGAATTTTCCTTGGTTTGGGTTTCCCACAACAGCATGGCCACAACAAAAAATCTTTTTCCCCAGATATGAAAAGCCCCGAAACTTTTTTACTCCACACCTTCACTACCCTCCCCTCTTAACCCCAGCCCCTAGTATTTTACGCTTGGCCTCTGGAGCTGAATGACCTCTTCGTCTAGAACGCCAACTCTGCAAAATCCCGGTAGCTATACATAAGCCAACTTCCCGGGACGGACAAGAAGCGAGAAAACATCACAACCCTCAAACACACGCCCCTGTTTTCCCCGTGCTTAAAAAAAAAAAAAAAGAGCCCAGTCCGTCACTATGCGAAGCATGCTAGGACATGTAGTTCTCCCAATCCCCGAGGCGCCGAGTCAGGGAAGAACTCAGGTTGACTCTCCCGCAGAGAACTACAATTCCCGTGGTGCCCTGCGACAGCGTGGAAGGGGCGGAACAGGAGAGGGCGCGTCGCGCCTGCGCAAGACAAGGGGCTGGCGGGAGGCGGAGGCGCCCAGGTCCAACCGCTGAAGCGTTTCCATGTGACAGTGAGTGGGGTCCTAACTCCGGGCGCCGCCTGACTCTGGTTCTTAACCCAAAGCAGTGTCCACTGTCCCGGCGCCAGCAGACACCAGCAGGCTAGGGCACTTGGTGTTGGGCCGTGCCGCCGGAAGAATTGCCGCCGCCGGGTCAGGTGCCTGAGAGACTCCCGCGGAGACCCCAGAGTCTCCGGAGAGAGGGGGAGCGGCGAGGCGAGCGGGGATTTCTGTCAGCGCCGGTGTCCGAGAGCGCGGAGACATGAACGGCTTCACGCCTGAGGAGATGAGCCGCGGCGGGGACGCGGCAGCCGCTGTGGCCGCCGTGGTCGCTGCCGCCGCCGCCGCCGCCGCCGCTTCGGCAGGGAACGGGGCAGGGGCCGGCGCCGGGGCGGAGGTGCCCGGCGCTGGGGCCGTGTCGGCGGCTGGGCCCCCGGGAGCGGCCGGGCCCGGGCCCGGACAGCTGTGCTGTCTGCGGGAGGACGGTGAGCGGTGCGGCCGTGCGGCAGGCAACGCCAGCTTCAGCAAGAGGATCCAGAAGAGCATCTCCCAGAAGAAGGTGAAGATCGAGCTGGATAAGAGCGTAAGTGACGGCGGGACGGGACGGCATCGTCCTGCCCGCCCCCTTGGGGCTCCAGGAGCGCTGCCGACGGGGGCTGTTGGGCGGAGGGTCCAGGGGTCCCCCTAGACCTGGCTGCAGTGGGAACCCGTTGTGTGGTCTCTGGTAGGAAGCAAACAACAAAGTCGCTGCAACTCTGACCGCCACCCCCACCGACGCACTAGCACTCGGTGGTTCCGCTTCTCCCCCACCCCTCCTGCCCGCGTCCCCTCCACCCCCCGCGCGCTCCCCGGGTCGGTGCTGTTCGCTGTCTTCCCCCTTCCTCCTCCTCTGAGATCGGGAAACGAAACAAAGGGACCGCGGCTCGGAGGGCCCGGAGTAGTTTTCTTGCAGCCCGGCAGCTCCTTCTGGAATGGAGGCGCCTTCTTTGTTTTGCTGCTCTCGCTGGCGTTTGGCCCCAGGGAGTAGCTCCCCTCGTGTAGGGAAAGTGGGGTCCTGCCAGGACCGAGGACTGATGACCTCAGTAAGACCCCTTTCCTGGTTCGCCCGAGTACAGAGGGAGGGGAGCCGAGCTCACCCCGCGCCTTGCGGGGAGCGGGGATTGTGAACCGTGTCAGCATCCAGCGCAGCTGCTCGCAGCGTGGGGAGCACGTAGCCTCTACGGTTTTGCCATCCGTTTGGCAGCCATAGGGATTTCTTTTTCCGTCCTTTCACACGTCTGTGTTGTTGTTTTGGTTGGGGGGAGGGGGATGTTATTTCTTTCTTTCTTTTCTTCGACCCTCCATGAGGTTTTTAAAGGGCGAAAGATTTATGCGCTCTGAAGAGAAACCAGAGTATCTATGAGGTTTTTAGAAACAACCTTCGCCACTTTCCGGAGTTCTGGCTGGCGGTAAATGAATCACCAGATGCCAGAACCTAGTACACATCCTGCATATTTATAACCTAGACTTAGTTTAAAAGTTAATTTAAAAGCTTTAGTCCTTAATAATTTGGTTTTTTAAAGGAGTTTAACTGTTGGTATATGAACCCCAATATTTCACATGTTACCGTGCAACTCTCAAGACTACATTTAATTGAAGCTTTTGCAATGTTTATTTGTGATACTTTCTGCCTGCTAAACAGGTAATAAGTAGTTCTTAGTCATGCTCATGAGAAACTTTTCAAGTAAACTTGAATTTCTTGTTGCTTTGATTGGGAAAACATATTACAGATAAATGCACTCATTAAATATTCAGAAGTTTATAATTCAAATTTAAATGTAAGTAGGTTATGAAATCAATAGCTCATTTGTAAAAATGGATACTTTTGTATCTGGATTATAATTTGGGTATTGAGAAAGAATAGGAAGCATACATCATGCTACTAAAATATGCTTTTTGAGTAGAGAAAATACTATAAAATAGCAAAACTGTGGACAACGTCATCTTTCCCCTTGCTAACAAAACAACATGACCTAAGGAATCTAGTTCACCCTCAGTGCAATTCAATGACAAAATCCGGAGAGTTGAAATTTCTCATTCTGCTTCTCTGTCTCCCTTCCTACCCCTCCCCCCCCCATCCCCCAATCCTCTCAACTGTACTGCCAGACATGGTATGTTTTAACTGGATGCAGGACTTAAACATAGAAACATGCTGTTTTGTTAACAATGGCCTGTTTTGACTGTTTTTATTTTTAATAATTCACTGTGCCCAGTGTATTTTACTAATACATAGGTTACATAATCATATTTAGTCTGTGAAACTTTTCTGTTTCAGGCAAGGCATCTTTACATTTGTGATTATCATAAAAACTTAATTCAGAGTGTCCGAAACAGAAGAAAGAGGAAAGGGAGTGATGATGATGGAGGAGATTCACCTGTTCAAGATATTGATACTCCAGAGGTAGATAAAGTTTCTGTTTGTTAAATGTAAATCCTAAGTATTCCATTCTGTAGCTTGGATTAAAAAATAGAACAGGGGTGTCTGGGTGGCTCAGTTGGTTAAGCATTAGACTTCGGCTCAGGTCTTGATCTCACAGTCGGTGGGTTCGAGCCCCGTGTTGGGCTCTGTGCTGACAGTTCAGAGCCTGGATCCTGCTTCAGATTCTGTGTCTCTCTCTCTCTCTATGCCCCTCCCCCACTAACACTGTCTCCCTCTCTCAAAAAATAAAATAAAGACAAAAAGAATTAATAAGAAATAAAAGATACAAGCAAATTTTTTAAATGCTTAAAGCAGAAACTCTGAAAATGAAAGCAAAATTAAATATAGCCAATTAGCAAGTAGTTACACAATTTAACTTGTATTTTCAGTTGACCATGCTGATAGCTCTGTTGCCTTCTAAGTTTTTTTTGCTCCCAGTTTTCAATGTTTATCTTCAAAAGATTAAAGTGTTTAATACATTTATAATTTTGATTATATAAAAGGGATAATGGAATGGAATTAATTAAATAATGTAATTTTGTTGTTTAATAATGGAGTTACACTTTTATTGTGCCAAAATTGGAATGTTATTATATGTATCAAAGATAACTATTTTGAAAATTATTTGAACTAATTTATATATGTTTATTTTTTCTAGGTTGATTTATATCAGTTACAAGTAAATACACTTCGGAGATACAAAAGACACTTCAAATTATCAACCAGACCAGGACTTAATAAAGCACAACTTGTTGAGGTATTTATGAGTTTTAAACTACTTACACTTTAAATGAGCCTGTTCATGCAAAAAAGAGTCATTAAAGGCTAATAAAGTTGTTATTGTAGTATATGTAACAATGCATTTTAGTTGGATCAGTTAATTAAAAGATTTACACTGGAAGAATCTTGTTTCTTAGAAATGTTTGCTTGCCACTTAACAAATTTATCTATGTAACAACTACTTAGTGGATTGTATGTAGTTTTCTAAGCATCTTTTAATACTGACCTTCAGAAATATGGGTGATAATATTTAAATTCTCATTCTAGAAATCTGTTGGTTTTAAAACTCTTGGTAAATATTTATTGAACACCTAATTGAAGCATAATAAAATAAATTGATAAGCTTTAATGTCTTCATTAGAATTTATTTTTTGAGTTTCTGGTGGATTAGATCTACAGATAAACTCATAAATAGTATTCCTATAACTTGTTGATTTAAGTATTTCAGAATTTGGCCTTATTGATGTTAATATGTTTTATTTGAGGCATCTATGCTTTTTTCACATCTAGAAGATGCAAAGGCTTTTATCCAACATTTTACATAGCTTTTACTTTGTTATAGAACTAACTTCTAGTCCTTTGGTAAATGTTGAAATGTATGTATTCTCAGGAATGAATTGAACCAAGAAATCTGTAAATCCTATTAAGGTGTTTGTATATTTATATATTTATAATTTAATCTTTTTACATAAAAATGCTTAGTCTACTAAACAGAATTGAAATGTAAAAATATAAGTCAGTTTTATCATAGTTTTTAGCTCGGGGTTTAAGGCAACATTTTCTAAAACATGCATATTAAATAGGGTAAAAGTTAAAGAAGGTACAATTCTTTGGCAGAATGCTTTTTTAACATTGTTAAGATCTAATATATTGACTTTTTAGCCAGAATTTCCTCTCTCCATCTTGCCACAAACATTCAGCTTTTCTTTAAATTTGATATAACAAAAACATAGATATTACCTACTGTGATGAAACTGTATCCATATATACTGATACTGATCAAGTGGATGATACTTTTGTTTTGGGACAAATGAGGACCAAAGAACTAATTATTTTAAATGTTATACTTAATGTACCGTTGATCCTTGAATGATTCAGGGGTTAGGGACACAGTCAAAAATCTGCGTATAACTTTTGACTCTCCAAAACCTTAGCTACTAATAGCCTACTGTTGACTGGAAGCCTTCCTGATAACATACACTGTCCAGTTGTATCTCATACATATATATATATACTTATTGTATTAGAATAAAGTAAGCTAAAGAAACAAAAATGTTATTAAAATCATGTAGAAGAGAAAATACATGTACAGTACTGTACTGTATTTTTTGGAGAAAAAAGTGTGTAAATGGACCCTTGCAGTTCAAACCTGTGTTATACAAGGGTCAGCTGTATATATATATATACATATATATATATATATTTTTTTTTTTTAGTGTCTAAGTCACAACTGAAATATTTGCTAATCTGATCTTTAAAAAGCTGTGTTATTTCCAGAGCTATTTTCTTCTTTAGAAATGAGAAAAAATCCAAATGGCTTTGAGTGTTATAGTTTACTTAGAAATGCAGATAAGTGATAAGAGATCCCAGAGTTAGATGACTGTCCTCCTTAAATCTCTTAATTATCATATGAGTAACATTTTCTTTAAGAAATTTTATCTTCTACAATCTAGATAAGCATATCAACACCTCAGTTTAGTCTGTTGTACTTACTGGTAGTTGCAGTGCACACATTAGATTAGCATAATGAAAAGGCCAGAAGGCAGGTAAACATTCTTCAGTGAAAGTTCCTCTTTCCTCTCTCATTTTCCATCAATAATACTTATTCCAAAAAAACTCTCAAGGAACCTTAACAGAGTACTGCCAATGAATGAATGAATGTAAGATACAGCAAACGTATTTATAAGATATTTTATGGTTTGTTTCTATAGTACCAAAACTATTTCAACTATATATTTATCCTTTTTGTGAGTAGAGTCTACATTCTCTTGATTTCATTGGTACTTAAAGCTTAAAAATATTTACTTGCTAATGTAGATTTTAATTATAAAATTTAAATACATTCTAATTATCTTTAATGAGTGGGTTGGAGGGTCCTTTGAAATCACACAATCTCTGGCTCATAACATCATATTCTAATATGCTTTTCATCTTGCTGGTATTTTGTTAAACAGTTTATTTTTAAAAGGAGATAGCTCTTATCACAGCACATTTTCTTTTGATGAAAGTGTTTTTTTACCTAGTATGAAATCTGTTAATATCTATAATTTAATTTCTTTTTTTTTTTTTTTTTTATAGATAGTTGGTTGCCACTTTAGGTCTATTCCAGTGAATGAAAAAGACACCTTAACATATTTCATCTACTCAGTGAAGAATGACAAGAACAAATCAGATCTCAAGGTTGATAGTGGTGTTCACTAAGAGAGATGGAATTGAGACTAAGACTTGGATGTTCAGATGTTAAGACTATTTGCTGTTTTTTCACATGTAGAAATGTTCCTTGTGTATTTTTTTTACAGAGGATTTTCTCTGGTTTTATTTTCTTTGTTTCCGACTCTAATAACTAGTTGGAAACTCATGTAAAATGGGCTTTCCTAGATTAAGAAATATTTTAAATAAAGGTGATTACTATTATAGTTGCTTCAGTGTATTCATTTTGTGAAACTTATTTTTATATTAAACTGACTAGGTGCTACTTTTGTTGAGAGTTTAATGTAAAGATCATCTTGTTACCACCTTTTTTTTTTTAATTCCAAGAAATTAAGGGTGAGGAGAAGTAACAAATGTAGCACCTTTGCTTTCTCTGGGACATCTGATTTGGAATCAAAGATATCCTCATTAGCATTATTCTTTAAAGTGCATTTTAGTGCTAACAGATTTGAAAAATAGACTTCCGTTAAGGTTTAACTTCTTTTTTATTTTCATTATTATCATTTATTATTACTACTACTACTTGATAAAGTATTAGGAAGAACAGTTTAATTTATATACATACCTCCTTCCAAAGAAGACTTAATGTGTCAGAAAAGATAACAGTGCTGAAAGTTCAAATAATATAGAGTTAATTGTGTTCCTTTAAATTTTGTCTTGGAGAAAGAACAAGTGTTTATATGATATGAACATTGAAGTTCTGCAGTGCCCATTAGTTTTCAGTCATTCCCTGTATCATTTACATTGCAAATTAAAACTCATAAGTTGGAGAGATCTAGAAATCTAACAAGATCTTTAAACTTTGGTTCATATGTAACTCTGACTTGGTTTATATTCTGTATTTTTTTATATTTCATTCTCGGTCCATTTTCTATTAAACTTCTTATGATTACAAATCAAATTTATAGTTTATGACACCAAAACAAAACCGTTTCAGTTAACGTTCTTGATTATGTTACAGATTTTAGGCTGGAAATGGATCAGAACATTAATGTAGCTCAGGGTTTCTCAAGGTTGACATTTGGGCCTGATAATTCTTTATTGTGGAAACATGTCCTGTGTGTTGTAGTTTTAGCAGCATCGTTGCAGGCCACACTAGTGCTAGTGGCACTCCAAAGGTGTGACAACCAAAGCTATCTCTAAGTGTTGCCAAACATGCCCTGGGAAGCAGAATCACCCATGTGAAGAACCGCTGATGTAGCTAAATCTAAAGTAGTGATACGTTAGAAGATTCGTCCATGTATTTTTAAATGTACTGAGTGTCTTGGCAGCTACAAAATATGGTGAAAAATAAAGCAACTGTTCTTTGTTCTTGCTGTAACCATTTAAAGATTTATAGTTGACCCCTGAACAATGCAGGGACTGGGGCACCAACCACTGCATAGTTGAAAATCCATATACAACTTTTGACTTCCCCAAAATTTAACTACTAATAGCCAGCTGTTGGCTGGAAGCCTCTTTGATAACATCAACAGTAGGTTACGTGTATTATATACTGTAAAGTAAGCTAGAGAAAAGAAAATGTTATTAAAACCATAAGGAAGAAAAAAATACATTTACAGTACTATGCTATAAAGAATCTGCATGTATGTGGACTTGCACAGTTCAAACCCATGTTGTTCAAAGGGTCAACTGTACTTTATTAATGGGCAGAGACTGTGATAATTGATATTATAGATCCTCTCATTTCTAGCATTCCAGAAATCTTTGTGAGAAGCTTTAGCTCTCTGAAAGTGAATCACATAGCTGGAAGGTGATTGTTTATTTGAAGAAAGTAATAACTTCCAGATATTTTTATCTAAATCTATAATGTATAAAAAGTTAATTTCTTTAATGTTTATTTTTGAGAAAGACAGAGCATGAGTAGGAGAGCGGCAGAGAGAGAGGAAGACACAGAATCTGAAGGAGGATCTAGGGTCCAAGCTGTCAGCACAGAGCCCAGTGCAGGGCTTTGAACCCATAAACCGTGAAATCATGACCCTCATTAGCCAAAGTCAGACACTTAACTGACTGAGCCACCTAGATGCCCCAAAGGTTAAATTTTTAATAAAACTTGACTGTAGGGTTACTTTTTCCTATAAAATCACTCCATTCTTGTGAAAGAAGCTTGAAATAATCTGCTTACTTTAAATTACCTGTTTATGATGTAATGTTTGAATAATAATGTTAATTTCATATAGTTAAGTATTCGCATAAAATATAGTTGGATAAAAAGTGAATCGAGGGGCACCTGGGTGGCTTAGTCGGTTGAGCGTCTGACTTTCGCTTGGGTCATGATCTCGCGGATCGTGGGTTCGAGCCCCGCGTCGGGCTCTGTGCTGACTGCCGGCTCAGAGCCTGGAGCCTGTTTCAGTCTGTGACTCCCTCTCTCTCTGACCCTCCCCTGCTCACGCTGTCTCTCTCTCTCTCCTAGAAATAAATAAAACGTTAAAAAAAATTAAAAAAAAAAAGTGAATCGAGTTCTGGATGTTAGTTACCTAATTAAGTGCTTGTTAGAGCAATTTATTTTTTTATTTTATTTTATTTTTTATTTTATTTTTTTTTTTTAATTTCTAGGAGAGATAGAGAGAGTGTGTGAGCAGGGGAGGGTCAGAGAGAGAGGGAGTCACAGACTGGAACAGGCTCCAGGCTCTGAGCCGGCAGTCAGCACAGAGCCCGACGCGGGGCTCGAACCCACGAACA